ATGGTGATAATAATGATGATAATTATGATAGCAATAATTTGATAAAGATCATGATTATGATGATGATAAGAACAATAACAACTATAATAATAAAACTAATTATAAAACTAATAATGAATATATACTTCTAATGCTACTGCATGTTAAAAAAAGGAAGTGAATGGTATTGATAGTGATTTAAAGATAGTGAACGGCTCTTTGTGATAATATTGAATGGTTTTTTAATTGCGTATAAATAAATGATAATACCAACTGAAACTCCTGTGAACATATAATATAAAAGAAAAAAAAATCTTTAAGGTATGCTGAATATATTATCAAATATTATGCATAAAATAAAGTAATGAACAACTGTAAGTGCAAAATAACGACAAAAGAATATAGTAGCTGATATATTCATGAATACGAAATATGAAATACACAGAAGCACATAGGCCTACATACACTTTGATCTTTATACCTCTCAAATGACCCCATCTCTTGACCTTATTTTTCGAATTCCTTTCTCACGAAACCGGAATTACATGAACGAATTACATGGACGAATAACGGATAACAATTCCAAAAGAAAAATAAAGAAAGTTAAAAATGGATAAAACCATCTTTTGAATAATGAAACTGCGCTGTACACGATAAACTTAAATTAAATTAAATTAATTAAATTAAATTAAATTGTGCGGATATCTTATACCTCTTTTGTCTTTTTATCTTTCATTGAGGAAGTCAATCACATCACAATTCCCTGTTTACGTTTTTTAAAAAAAAAAAAAAAAAAAAAATAGAGGACAACACATTTGATTTAAAAGTTTATCAAGATATTCTGGATCTTGGGTACTGTAGAGAGGGGGCAGGGGGAGGGGGAGGGGGATGTGGGAGAGGGGGGGAGGGGAGAGGGGGAGAGGGAGAGGGGGGAGAGGAGAGGGAGAGGGGAGGGGGAGGGGAGAGGGGAGGGAGGGAGCAGGGAGAGGAGAAGGGGAGGGAGGGGAGGGGGAGGGGGGGGGGGGGGGGGGGGGGGAAAGGGGGGGGGGGGAGGCGGGAGCTGATGAGGGGAGAGGGGGAGCGTTGGGTAGATAATCCCCCCACCCCTACCATACAACCCTACTAACCCCCCCCGAGTGTCCTTTCTGTCAATTTCCTTCATTCGTTAGAAACAAGAGAGAAATTTGCTATCTCTGTCTGGAAATTATAGGCCTATACCCCCACCTCCACGTACAAAAAAAAACAAAAACAAAACAACATATATAGGTCTGTGTTTAAAGAGAGAAAGAAGGAGAGGAAAGAAGAACACGAAGAAGAAGAGGATTAAAAAAAGAAAGAAAAGAAGAAGAAGGGAATGAAAAAAAAAAAAAAAATAGGGAAAGAAAAAGGAGACGAAGAAAAGAAGAAATGGAAGACGAAAAGAAAAGGAAAAATTAGGAAAAGAATAATAATAAGAAAAAGAAGCAGGAAAATAAAAGTAGGGAAAGGGATGAAGAAGAAAAGAAGAAAGAAGAAGGATGAAAAGAAAAAGGAAAATATTAAAGAAGAGAGAAGAAAAGAAGAAAAAAAGAAAAAAAATGAAGAAGAGAGAAGAAAAGGTTAAAGAGGATGAAGAAGAAGAAGAAGGAAAATAAGAAGTAAGCAAACAAACGAGAAGTATAAGAATAAGGAGAAGAAAAGATATGATGATGATTTGTGAATCTTAAAATCTATATTTGCTTATATTTCTTTCAAAATTTTCATTTCCCTTCGTCGTTTTAAAAGTAGTATTTCGCAGTGTCTGTTCATTTCTTTTTTATGGAAGAGAATTTGCATGTGTGTGTGTGTGTGTGTGTGTGTGTGTGTGTGTGTGTGTGTTGTGCTGTGTGTGTTTGTGAGTGTATATGCATGTGTAGCATGTGACAGAGAGAGAGAGAGAGAGAGAGAGAGAGAGAGAGAGAAAGAGAGAGAAGAGAGAGAGAGAGAGAGAGAGAGAGAGAGAGAGAGAGAAGAGAAGAGAGAGAGAGAGAGAGAGAGAGAAAGAAAGAAAAGAAAGAAAAAGAAAGAAAGAAAGAGAAGAGAAGAGAAAAGAGAAGAAAGGAAAGGGAAAGAGAAAGAAGAGAGAAAGAGAAAGAGAGAGAGAAGCGAAGAAAGCAAAGAAAAACTTTATAATGCCTTGCTATAGTTTATGACCTTGGAGGGACTAAAGGGATATCCTGCAAGAGAGAGGGGACAGGGAGGGGGAAGGAGGGAGGAGAAGGGAGGTCGAAGGAAGGAGTGGAAAGAGAAACAGGAGGAAGGGGGAGAGAGAAGAAAGCAGGAATGAGGAAGTGGGGGAATGGGTATGAGGGGAAAAGAATGAAAGAAGAAGAGGGGAAATGGAAAGGAGAAGAAAAATAGGAAAGAAGAGAGAGAGAGAGAAGGAGGGAGTGGAAAGAGAGAGCAGGAGGAAGGGGGAAGAGAGAAGGTAAGAAGGGGAAGGGGGAATCGGAGTAATTGGGAAGGTAGGAAGGATTTACGAAGGGGGAAGGTGAAAGGGATGGGAAGAATTAAATGTAAGAAGAATGGAGGGGAAAGAACGTAGAGAGAGTGGGAAGAAGGGATACTAGGAGGAGTGGGATGGAAGCAGAGAAGAAGGGAAGAAGGAAAATAGTTAGGAAGGTAAAAAAGGAAAGTGGGAGGGACAGCAAGAGGAAAGCGAAGGAGGGAAGGAGAGGAATACAAATGAAACGGGGAAGCAGGAAGATCAGAGAAATAGAGAGAATAGAGGAAGACGAAAACAAAATGAAGGAAAAAGAGAAAACAGGTAGAGAAAAATTAATGGAAAGAATTTGGGAATAGGGACAAGAAAGAAAACAGTTAATGGGAAGAGTTTGGGAATGGGGACGAATAGAGGGTAGATGAGAAGGGGGAAAATAACTGGGATAGAGGAGGAGTAGGAGGAGGATGGAGGAGGAAGAGAAGGAGGAGAGGAAGAAGAAGAAGAAGGAGGAGGAGGAGAGGGAGAGGAGGAGGAGGAGAAGGAAGAGGAAAAGGAGAGAATGGAGGAGGAGGAGGGGATAGAGAGGAGGAGGAGGAGGAAAGAAGAAAGAAGAGGAAAGGGGGAGAAGAAGAAGAAAAAAAATAAGAAAGAGGAGAAGAAGAAGAAGAAGAAAAAGAAGAAGGAGGAGGAGAAGAAGAAGAAGAAGAAGGAGGAGGAGGAAGAGGAGGAGGACTATTTCCCTGGTTCGAGAGCAAGAAGTGTCCTCGGCAGCGGGGAGGTAGTCCATAACGAGCGAGAGGGATAAGGAGTAATATTAGAGGAAAAATAAGAGAGGGGGGAGGAGGGAGGAAGAGGGAGTCGAAGGAGGAATAAAGAGGAGGAAAAGAGGAATAAAAAGGGGAGAGAAAAATAAGAGAGTTGGGGAGGAGGGAGGAGAAGAGGAATAAAAGAGGGAGGAAGAGAGGAATAAAAAGAGAGAGAAAAATAGAGTTGGGGAGAGGACGGATCGAAGGAGGAATAAAAGAGGGGAGGAAGAGAGGAATAAAAAGGAGAGATGAGGAAAAATAAGAGGGAGGAGGACGGAGGAAGAGGAATCGAAGAGAAGAAAAGGGAGGAAGAGAGGAATAAAAAGGAGAGATGAAGGAAAAATAAGAGTTGGGGAGAGGACGGAGGAAGAGGGAATCGAAGGAGGAATAAAAGAGGGGAGGAAGAGATGAATGAAAATGGGAGATAAGGAAAAATGAGAAAGATTCTCGAGATGAAGGAAGGAAGAGGAAATCGAAGGAGGAATAAAAGTGGGGAGGAAGAGTGGAAGGAAAAAGGGAGATAAGAAAAAATGAGAAAGATTCTCGAGATGAAGGAAGGAAGAGGGAATCGAATGGAAGAATAAAAGAGGAGAGGAAGCGAGGAATAAAAATGGGAGATAAGGAATGGGGAGGATGTAGGAGGAAGAGGGAATCGAAGGAGGAAAAAAAGAGAGGAGGAAGCGACGAATAAAAAGGGGACAGAAGGAAAAATAAGAGTCTGGAGAGGAAGGACGAAAGAAGAGGAAATCGAAGGAAGGAATAAAAGAGAGGAGGAATAAAAAGAGGACATAAGGAAAAATGATAAAGATTCTGGAGAGGAGAGACGGAAGAATAGAATATCGAAGAAAGGAATAAGAGAAGGGAGGGAGAAGAAAAGAAAACTGAAGGAGAGAAATAAAGGAGGAAATGAGGAAAAACGAAAAGGAAGGCCGGAGGAAGAGAAATTCGAAGAGAGGAATAAGAGAAGGGAGGGA